CCCAATAGAATTACAAACCAATATTACTGTTCTTGTCTAAAACTTGATACGATCGACTTTGTGAAATACAATCACAAATGTCGAAGCTGTTCATAAAACAATCAAAGCAATATGCCGAGACTCGGCCATGCTACCCAAAAGAGTTGTTTGAATGCATTTCCTCCAAGACCCTTGTCACGACCTCGCATGGGCCGTCGGCACCGGCAGTGGCCAGGCTGCCTGATCCGCAAGTTTCTCTTCTTTCCATCATCTTCCTTTCACTTCTTGCGGTTTAAACATAGATCAATTGTAGCACAAATTTAAGCTTAGGTCATTTGAAACCTTTTTGTTCAGTACTGTGTTTTTGCCTAGGTTTGCTATCTGAGTCACCTCCTTCACTACATATTCTAGTTAGTGCTATCCACACATCATTTTTTTTATTTTCCACACGTCATCTGTTACTTTATGTCATTTGATCCTCTTCAATTCATTCGATTTGACGACCAAAAATTGACAGGAGTGTAGGGAATGTAAGAAGGGGTGTGTACCCTATATTTTGTGTTTGTTGAAGAATATCTCACATTAGAGAATTGAAAAAATCAAATATATATAACATGTATTGACAATAGTTGATATGTGTTGGAACCAGTCACTAAACCCTTACATGTCATCTCATATCACAAGTCTTCAAGTAGAACATGGATCCTCTTCAGATCCATGTGTCCTAATCCACTAAATCTCGTGATTCGGACCATTGAAATTTGATCTAACGGCTAAAGTTATTATAACTTTTAAAGTGAGCCCTTGTTTGTAGTCGTTAGATCAAATTTTAATAGCCCAAATCACGGGGTTTGGTGGATTAGGACCAATGGATCTGGAGGGGATCCATGTCCCTCCAAGTAATCATCGCTGCATAATTTCAACGCCAGCTTTCTCTTTTTCCTTGATTCAAGGGATTACTTCTTAGTCTTGTATTTGGTGTAAATCATCTTAAATTAAGGAAAAGTATGTGTCCGAGGTTTACCTGGTCTCTAGGGTTTCATGTAATGATGGTTGCCTGTAACCATTTATTTTCTTTGCCTGCATATATTGCCATGTACATTTAGAACTCTTCATGAAATAGAAATACACTTTGAAACTAAAAATCTACAATATGCTTACTATGATTAGTAATGAGCCGCTTGACCATCTCTCTAAAATCTTGACACTATTGATCGAGAGAGTACTTTCTAGTCATAAAATTTTCATGTTCAAAATATTTCTAGACTGCTATAAGTATTTCTCGTTCTTTCATGAATCTCGAACCACAATAAGTAACATGTTAAACTAAATTGCACCCAAGCTGCCCAATATTCGCTACGAGCACACCCCGCCTCCTGTCATGTCAATAGCCGAGGTTGAACAAAAGTTGACACCAAATTCAAATGTTCATCTGGTGATCATTGCTCAAGCCCTCCATTGGTTTGACCTCCCCAATTTCTACCAACAAGTGAAACATGTACTGAAGAAACCTAATGGTGTCCTTGCAGCATGGTACCATATAATGCCTAGAGTTAACAGCATTGTAGACACTCTTTGATCGTTTTTACACCGTTGATACTGATCGTTACTGGGATCCAGCACGTAAATTGGTAGACGACAAGTTTAAGAGTATCGATTTTCCATTTGAGCCGGTGGACAGAGAAGAGAACACAAGACCGTTTGAGTTCGTGAGAGAGCAGTTGATGGATTTAGATGGCTTTTTTACATACATAAGGTCATGGTCTGCATATCAGACGGCCAAAGGAAAGGGTGTTGAGCTCTTGAGTGATCATGTGATTGAGGCGTTTAAGCAAGCTTGGAATGAAGGTGGAGACCATGGTCAGAAGCAGGGGTGGATCTAATAAGGGACCAAGGTGGTCCTAGGACCACCTAGAAGCTTGGATAAATGGTTGTGAGGACCTTCAAGGACCACCCAAATCTGGGCAATGGTGGAGAAGAACAACAGCCATGGCTGCTGCAGGCTATGCAAAATGGGAGGAGGAAGAAGAAAGCTAAATTTTTTTTTTCTTTTTTAAATGGCTTGGTCAAAAGACGTTATTTTAAGCCAAGTCATCAAAAAAAATTTTAAAAACTCACGTAATAGAGCACCCACACTACCAATTTATATATTTAATATTTAATAAAAGCCCATTCATTAGTCAGATTGCTTTCAATCGTTCACACTACCAATTTTTATATACCTAAATGTCTGCCTCTCACGCTTCCCAAGCCAGCCGAAGGCCTTCACCCATCAGCAATTGTATGCCTTCTGTTCGACTGTTCCTCACGCTTCCCAAGCCAGACGAAGGCCATCACCCATCAGCATCAACTTTAAAATTTCTGTAAGTTTTCGAATTTAGTTAGTTGATACAGATTTGTTAGGATTTTTATTTTTATTTTTTAAAACAACACTAGTTAAAAACAAAGGGGCTGAATAGACTACAGTTGATGCTTAGAGTTTTTCATATCTATTTTAGGATTTTTTTCTAAGGATTGTTGAACAGCATCAACCTTATTTATTGTTAATTTCTTAGGATTTTTCACATCTATTTTAGTGTTAGTTCATACATATTTATTGTTGATTCGTTAGGATTCTATTATTACTTGGATTGTGTTATAGGTTTTTTTTTTTTTTTTTTTAATTGTGTTACAATGTTAGTTCATACATATTTTTTAGTTTCATCAATTGATATAGATTTTTTTATTAATTGATATGTGTAGAAATTAGAAGGAAGGAACGATATTACAAGTGAAAATCATCATTGATTAGTTCGGACAATCACATTCCAAATAGTTCACCTTTAAACTTGGATAGTTCCAATCCTATTTCGAATAGCTCCGCTCCAATTCCAAATAATTCTGATCCAATTGGGCGTAATTCCACTCCACAACAAAATGAGTTAAAAGTTGATTTGGATAATCTTGAGAGAGACCCTGGAAAGAGAATTCCAACGACGGACTATCCTTCAAATATTCGAGATGAGTTCCAAAGAGCATATATATTAATGGAGCCTTTTAGAGCTAAAAGATCATGATTTTCCATTCACCTTGCATTCGAATAAAAAGCAACAGTTCGTTGGTAATTGGTTAAAAGAATTTCATTGGTTAGAATATAGTATATCTAAAGATGCTGCATTTTGCTTTTATTGCTACATATTCAAAGTTAATTCTGAACAATCTGGCAGTGACATCTTTGCTAAGGTAGGCTTTCAAAATTGGAAGCACGCAAGAGCATGTTTTGAAAAAATGTAGGAATGGTTGGTAGTTTTCACAATAAAGCTGTTGAAGATGTTGGTAATCTAATGAATCAAAAGACACATATTGAAACAATTGTGGTCAAACAGTCAGAAAAAGCTCATATGGCTTACCATACTTGCTTGAATGCATCAATTAATTGTACTAAGTTTTTGTTGCGACAAGGTCTTTCATTTTGTGGTCATGATGAAAGTGACACTTCAAACAACAAAGGTAACTATTTGGAGCTCTTGCAATTCCTTGTAAATCAGGATGAAAAAATAAAGGACGTGTTAGATAAAGCTCCGGGAAATCTCAAGCTAATAGCTCCTACAATTCAAAAAGATCTTGTTCATTCATATTTTATTGAAACCATTAAAAGTATCATAAGTGATATGAAGAATGCTAGTTTCTTTTCTCTATTGGCTAATGAGGCACGTGATGTTTCTATAAAGGAGCAAATGGTGGTGGTTTTGCGTTATGTCGACAAAAATGGGAAAGTCATTGAAAGGTTTGGAGGAGTTCAAGATGTTCCCGACACCACTTCAAACACACTAAAAGAGTATATTGATGTGTTCATTAATTTCAATGAGTCTATTGGCTAATAATGTGGTAAATAATATTGGAGCTTCATGTAAGCATCATGATGCACTTAGAGAGATGCAACAAAAAGAACTTACGAACGCTCTTGAAAATAATTCTCTTCTGACAGGGCAAGGCTTAAATCAAGAAACTAGTCTCAAACATGTCGGAGCTATAAGATGGAATTCATATTATGGTACTTTGATTAGTTTGATTTCTATGTACTCGTCAGTGGTCAATGTGCTTGAAATGATTGTTGATGATAATACCAATGATAGTGTGGCTGTAGCAGATAGGTTATTGAGAGACATACAATCTTTTGAGTTAGTGTTTCTCCTATTTTTGATGAAATCTATATTGGGAATCATGAATGATTTATCACAAGCATTACAAAAGAATGATCAAGAGATTTAGTCAACACATGTAAAGAACAACTACTACATGAGGAATGATGAGGGGCTTGATCTTTTGGTTGACAAAGTATTGTAATTTTGTGTCCAACATCATATTGAGGTTATTAACATGAATGAGGCATATGTAGCTCAAGGGAGGTCGCGCCGTAATACCCACAAAAAGACCAACCGTCATCGTTACAAAGTTGAGCTTTTTTTTTGTTGCCATTGATTCCTAACTTACAGAGTTAAATGATCGCTTCAATGAGACAAGTACCGAATTGCTCATATGTTTGGCTAGTTTGAGTCCAAATGGTTCTTTTGTAGCTTTTGACAAAGAAAAGCTAATTCGCCTTGCTCAATTGTACCCTTAAGATTTTACGAAGCAAGACTTGTCGGCACTTGAAAATCAACTTGATATTTATATTTACTTTATGCATTCGAAAAGTGACTTTTCTCAATTGCAAAGCATTAGTGATCTTGCTAAGAAAATTGTGGAAAAATGGTTGCATTGAGTATTTCAATATGTGTATTTACTTATTGAATTGACTTTGGTTTTACCGGTTGCAATTGTTTCAGTGGAAAGAGCATTTTCTGCCATGAATATCATTAAGAGTCCACTCTGCAATAGAATGGGGGATCAATGGTTAAATGATAGCTTAGTTGTTTCATCATGCCTCCTTCTCGGCTGTCACTATTCCAGCGGTTTTATGGAAGTGGGTGTGGAGGCTCCATACTCCCCTTAAACTTCGATGTTTCATGTGGAAGACTTTGCATGGTGCCCTACCCATGATGGTTGCTCTTTATCATCGGTACTCATCAGCTTCACCAACATGCCCTTTATGTCATATCCATGATGAGTCCGTTGAGCACCTCTTTCTTCTATGTCCCTGGGTTGCGGCTATTTGGTTTGGGGGAGCTTTAACTTATCGGGTTGACAGGAACGCTAATACTTCGTGGGGCGGTTGGCTTGTTGCTCTCTTTCAAGCGCATGCTCACTCAAATGAGGATTTACAGCGGGTTATGTCTTACATTGCATTTTCCTGTTGGCATATTTGGAAAGCTAGGTGTAGGATCCTCTTCCAACGCAAACCTATTAACCCGTTCCAGGTGCTTTCCAATATTTCCACGAGTGGAGCTGGTTTCCTTACTGCCATGCCGTGTTCCTCGGTCCACAATGTGCACATGCATTCTCAAAGTGATGGGCAAGTTAACTGGCTGCCACCACCTTTTCCCTTTTATAAAAATAATGTTAATGCTAGTTGGGATGCAGGCATGGGGGGTGGTTATGTAGGAGTTGTGATTCGGGATTCTTTTGGTAATTTCCTTGCCGCTACCAGAAAAAGCCTCCGTGAGTCTTGTGTAGCCGTTGTTGAAGCAGTGGCTGTGCAGTATGGTTATGAGTTGGGTCATGAATTGGGTCAAACTCATGTTGTTCTTGAATCTGATTCTCAACAATCTATTTCATGTCTGCGGGGATCTCTCTCTAATGGCATATGGGAGGCTTTTCCCATTTTAGCGAGGTGTTTGAAGTTTGGGGAAGCCTTTCAGGACTGTTGCTGGCCTTGGATTCCAAGATCAGGCAATTTAGCGGTGGACCATTTGGCATCGCATAGTTGTGTGGAGATGTGTGACGTGTCTTGGGTTGCTAGGCCCCCATCTTCACTAGTGCATGTGCTAAATAAGGATGGCTTACCATGTCCGCCTTAAGTTAGTGTTAGTGGTGCAAGGGGGGACGCTTTGAGGTTGTTTCGAGTGTCCGGTCTTCTTACCCTTTGCTCCTCCAGTTTGTTTTTTGCTTGTTTGCCTCTTGTTAGGCTTTCGTTGTTCTCTTTGGCTTCTTTTGCCCTAGTTAATACATCTCTAGTTTTCCCAAAAAAAAAAAAAAAAAAAAGTGGAGTAGTAGTATTAAGCTTTTCCTATCTCTACTTTCTCACATAACATAGAGAGCTTGTCCTTTCACAATATTATGTTTGTCTTTTTGTCTTTTTTGTCTACTTTGTTGCTTAAATACTTACCATTCACAGTATCAGATTTTGGATTGTTGGATCGATTGGATTGGCACTTAAATTTCTGAATATGTTATGTTCTCTTTGTTCTTGTTGTCAAATGTGGTTACTTTTTAAATAAATGTGCTTATTGCTTAATTGAGTATGTTAACGAGTGGGCGTCGTCGTGGCAATACTCGCAGCCAAACAATCCTCAAAAGACTAAAGTTTGAGATAAACAATTATATTCTAAGAGCATCTCCAAAGGAGATGCTGAAATGTACACATCAGCTATAACAGTAAAAAAAAACCACACTAATATTCTTCAACCGAAGTGTTAAATCCTATGTGGCGATGACATGGATTGGCAACAAAAGAGGTTGGTATCAAATTTGATAGCAACTTCAAATGTTTTTTTATTAATTATTAAATGTATTTTATTAATTTTTAATTAGTTTAATATTTTATTATAATTAATGTTGAGTTAACCATTGCAATTATCCTACTTTTTTCTTCTTTTCAATCAAGGAAGGTGAACAGATTACTGATTAAACTTTAAATGTCCTTTATTAAATTTTAATTAGTTTAATAACTTATTTTATAAAATAATAAAATAATAATTTAATTTGAACAAATGTAACATTCAACATCGCCCAGGGGAGTGATCCTTAAATGTATATTCTCATCCCTACCTAGCACGAGGCCTTTTGGGAGCTCACTGGCTTCGGGTTCCATGGGAACTCCGAAGTTAAGCGAGTAGCGCGTGAGAGCATTCCCAGGATGGTTGACCCACTAGGAAGTTGCTCGTGAGTTCCCAAAAACAAAAACCGTGAGGGAATGGTAAGCCCAAAGCGGACAATATTGTGCTACGGTGGTGGAGCGGGCCCGGGAAGTGATCCGCCCCGGGCGGGGATGTGACAACAAAACTTTAAAAGATGTCAAAGTGCCACATAAGCTGTCAAAATTTAAATTTTATATTCAAAATTTGACATCTCCTTTGGAGATTGTCTAACGAATCATTTAAGGAAAGGGATCCCAATTTATTTTTTAAATGGAAATTAGTTGTCGGACTCATATCATGCCAAACCTCAATGATCTATAAATTGAGACTTACAAAATAGACGGTTTGGATAGTTGAAGTTCGATGTGGAGTGGCCCCACAATTAATCCCCAATTTTAAAAAATAAAAAAAATAGGAATCCCTTTACATACATGGCATGTATACTCTAATTATGGGTGGGTTCAGTTTCATTCGGTTCAGTTTGGTTTGGTTTTTTTCGTTTTTTTTTTGTTCGGTTTCGGTTATTTTTTATTTTATAAAACTTGATCTTTTTTTAATATGGAATGTAGAAAAGAGGCTTGCATTGATATACTAGTAATAAGAAAATGGGGAAAGTCGGAAGGTAGTTGTACATATACAAGATCATATAAACCAATTATATTCTATCAACAACCTCAATTGCAAAGAAAAATGATCATCGTATCCATTGCAAAAGCAAACAAATGGAAAAGCTCTTCCAAGTTCCAAAGCCTTCCAAAACTTTCTTCTATAACCAATGGAATATCCTCTCTAATTGAACCAAGTATGCTTCTTAAAAATGCCCTAGGCTTAGTTTCAAACTTGGCAATAAAGTTTCACAAAAGAAACATCATGGGCATACATTCATAAAGTGTAAAGGGATTTGGTTAGGTTTGGTTCGGTTTCCAAACCTCCAAAACCAAAACTGAACCAATAAAGTTCAGTTGGTTTCAATTTTTCCTTTTTCGATTCTGTTTTTTTTTTTGTTTTCGGTTTTTCAGTTTTGAATCGATGTTCGGTCCCGTTTTTTCGATTTTCAGTTTTTTTAACCCATCCCTAACTCTCAAAGGAGCAATCCCATTAAATTTGCTCTAATTAATTACTGAAATCTATCACCAAAAGATGTAAAAAAAATGTATATATAGGTCTAAGCCACTAGGGATAGCCTAGTGGTGAGGGTGTGGGTAAAAGGTGTTGACAATATCCCAAAGGTTGTTAGAGTTGTTACCAAAATTAGTTAGTTAAATAGCTTAAGCTGCAAGTTAGTCATGATAGCTATATAAAATGTATTCTCATAATTGTAAAAATTAATTCAGTATCAATGTAATCAATTACTTTCTCTCCCTCTCTCTCTCTCTTATTCTCTTTCTGCATTTCTGTGCTTCTCTGCACTACTGTTAATATGGTATCAGAGCCGTGGATTGATCTTTGGTGATCCTCTTCCGCTATGGGTGAATGAGTTTTCGTACAAGCTTGGATGTTCGAGTGCGTTTTCTGATGATCGGGTAGGATTCGTCCAGATTGCACTTGAGGACCAGCAAAGCCATGATCTTCATCTTTCTTCTCTGATTTTTTTGTCGGCAAGATCTAATCGCAGAGTCTATGGGCTAATGATCGATTTAGGGATTTAGAGATTTAGGGATTTGAAGATTGAGATCGTAGAGAGTTGAAGAAAGCAAGAGTAAAAATTGTGTTATGGGTTTCAAGATTCAAGTTCTCAGGTTTTGTCTTAGATTACTAGTTTTCTTTCCAGCATATTAACTGTTTGTGATAATGTCTCAGTGAGAATTTTCTTGGGAATTTTGGAAGTGTCAAGGCCGATAGCCGTATACTTCAGATTTGTTAAGACTTCAAGGCCGAATGCCATATTTGAGAATCTTTAAGGCCAATTGCAATTTCGCAGTTGCTATGAAATTGTTGATTGTATTTCCCTAAGGCCGATTGCCGGGATTTTTTGTTGTCTAAAAGATTGTCAGTTAATTGGGTTTTCTGTGATATTGTATCTTATGCTCCTTCGGGGTTTTGTTGTACTGTTGCTGCTGCTAAGCTTGTTACAGAGGCGGCCATGCAGATGGTGACAAACCTAGAGGCCGAGCATTGAGAATGTTGGTAGTGTTGTTTCTCGCTCTAGTTTGGTGGTTTAGGTGGGGCTGCGGCTGAGTCTGCGCCGGAGGATATCGAGTCTGTGCTCCCCAGACCGTCACGTTCTGCTCCTTCATCACCTGTTGCTGCCTCAAAAAAAAAAGGAGTGGAAAACATGAACGTGAGGTGTTCGTGTGAACACGAAAGTTCCTTGAAACAAGAAACAAGAATAACGTGTACAAAATAATATTTTGTGTTTAATGATTTTGGGGTTACGATCTCTCTCAAATTTGGTCCTCTGATTCTATCTTCGTAGGGTGTAGGTTTGTGGATGAGTTATTGATCCAAAGGGCCGTCAGGGCTTGATCTAAGGATGAACAGTTGATGAACGGATGAACACTTTCTTCAAGGGCCGTCGGGGCTTGATCTTGAATAATGGTTGTGTGGATTTCTTCAAGGGCTTTTGGGCTTGATCTTGAAGGTTGATGGATGAGCGGATCTTCAAGGGCTTTTGGGCTTAATCTTGAAGAACGATTGGATGTGTGGATTTGTTGAGGTTGTTGATCCAAAGGGCCGTTGGGGCTTGAGCTTAGGATGAATGGATGATGAATGATGAACACTTTCTTCAAAGGCCGTTGGGGCTTGATCTTGAATAATGGTTGTGTGGATTTCTTCAAGGGCTTTTGGGCTTGATCTTGAAGGTTGATGGATGAGTGGATCTTCAAGGGCTTTTGGGCTTAATCTTGAAGAATGGTTGTGTGGATTTCTTCAAGGGCTTTTGGGCTTGATCTTGAAGGTTGATGGATGAGCGGATCTTCAAGGGCTTTTGGGCTTAATCTTGAAGAACGATTAGATGTGTGGATTTGTTGAGGTTGTTGATCCAAAGGGCCGTTGGGGCTTGAGCTTAGGATGAACGGATGATGAATGATGAACGCTTTCTTCAAGGGCTGTTAGGGCTTGATCTTGAATAATGGTTGTGTGGATTTCTTCAAGGGCTTTTGGGCTTGATCTTGAAGGTTGATGGATGAGCGGATCTTCAAGGGCTTTTGGGCTTAATCTTGAAGAATGGTTGTGTGGATTTCTTCAAGGGCTTTTGGGCTTGATCTTGAAGGTTGATGGATGGGCGGATCTTCAAGGGCTTTTGGGCTTAATCTTGAAGAACCATTGGATGTGTGGATTTGTTGAGGTTGTTGATCCAAAGGGCCGTTGGGGCTTGAGCTTAGGATGAACGGATGATGAATGATGAACGCTTTCTTCAAGGGCCGTTGGGGCTTGATCTTGAATAATGGTTTAACGAAGAACGAAGAGAGCTTTCTTGATCCTTCGGAATTCTTGGGAATTTGGATGGTTGGAAGCTTTGGAGTTTCAAAGCTTCAAGGATTTGGGGAATTCCTCTTCTAATTTTGGAGTAGAGAAATGTATTTGTGAATTCCTTGATGCTTGATACCTTGATGGAGAAGCCTATTTATAGGCTTTGAGAATGAATCACCACCACAAAAATATTTTTTTTCCTTTCCAAGCACCATTGCCTAATTTTCCCACTTAATGCAATATTGAAATTGAAGTGGTGTAACTTATGGCCTAATTTCCCACTTAATACCATTTTAAACTTGAAGTGGTGTAACTTATGGCCTAATTTCCCACTTAACACCATTTTCAACTTGAAATGTGTATGCTTTGTCATTGCCCAAATGAGAAAAACTTGCTTTGATCCGTAATGGATTGAAGTGTGCTTGCCTTGTCATTGCCCAACATGAGAAGAAAAACTTGTTTTGATCCTCAATGGATTGAAATGTACTTGCCTTGTCATTGCCCAAAATGAGAAGAAAAACTTGTTTAATCCTTCAAGGGTATTTCTTCCTATTTTGTTGAGTCACACGCCATGTGTACAATTTGTACAACACGTGGCGTATGCCATGTATGCCTTGACACGTCAAAACTTTAATGCATTGGTGAACATTTGTTTTACTGAAATTTCGATGTCTACAGTTCGATAAAAGGCCCCAGAGATATTTGGATGCATGTTCGAGATTTTTATGGCTCGCAAGTGCTTCTTATAGAATTTGTGCCCACAAGGAGTAGTACTTGGTTCAAAGCAAATCTCCAAGCAGATAGCGCAAGAAAGTTCTTCCCTGAGAAAATTTGCTTCTTCGATGGCGTTTCTTGTATGCCAGTTTGTTCGAAAAAGGCCGATTGCAAGAGTAATGCATTTTGTTTCCTCCATAAGGCCCATAGCCGAAGTGAAAAGTTCTATCTTAGATATTGTGTCTTACTCCTTAAAGGCCGATAGCCGGAGTAACGTTCTTGAAAAGTTTTGTGTGTTGTTATTGTGTGCAACTCCATTAAGGTCAATTGCCAGAGTGCAGTTCTTGTTCCCTTTCTTCATTGAAGGCCGATTGCCGAAGAAGGTTGTGTTTCTTGATTTCTGTGATTGTATGAAGTTGATTGCTGGATGGTCTGCTTCAATCTCAAACTGGGCAATCCCAGTTGAGATTGAGGGGGGATGTTGACAATATCCAAAAGGTTGTTAGAGTTGTTACCAAAATTAGTTAGTTAAATAGCTTAGGCTGCAAGTCAGTCATGATGGCTATATAAACTGTATTCTCATAGTTGTAAAAATTAATTCAGTATTAATGTAATCAATTACTTTCTCTCCCTCTCTCTCTCTCTCTTATTCTCTTTCTGCATTTCTGTGCTTCTCTGCACTACTGTTAATATCTTATTTTCTTTCTGCATTTATGTGCTTCTCTACACTACTGTTAATAAAAGGTCGGGTAGAAAGAAAAAAAAGTATATAAAGGTTTTAATTTACATTTGGTTAAAGATGAATAATTTACATTTTGTTACTGGAGAGTTTTATTTCAAAAATTGTAAAATGTCCATTTTAAGGCATTTTATATCTTTTCATTGTAAGGATAAGCTCATTCCCTCCCTTAGTGTAGATAATATCAATTGTTTAAAAAAAGACATTTTATATCTTCCATCGGAGATGCTCTGAAAAACAACCATGCAAATGAGCTTGACTATAATGACAAAAAACAATCATGACTATGCATCATTTCTCAACAGTTTAATTAACATTTTGGCACTCATTTAAATTTCCAATCAAATATTTGGTGGAATCAATTTGACTATGTGGTTCATGTGCCATTTTTTTGTTTGCTGTTATGAAACTTTTTATAACATTGAACAAAATATAATAATAAAATTTAATAGTGATACTTTAGAAAGGGAAACAATGAAACTGCAACAACAACATTGGTTTTGCTGCATTTTTGTTTGGGCATAATCTGATAATTCACATGGATTCTATAAAGCGACATTACTTTGACATGTTATCGGACAGCCTACTATTGGTTTGTAGACTTAAAGCTTTGAGAATAATTATTGTATGGTGAAAAATCTAGTAAATGTGAGAGCTTGTAATTGTAGCCACAAACAGAAGATATTTTGACGAGAATGGCTGAAGACCTAGGGCATCATGGAACACTATACAAGGAAGCGTATGGGTAAAGGAGAAAGCCTCCAAACAAGATCTTCGAGAATGATATTAGACCATCTTCAAAAAAGATGTCAAATGATGTTAAATACGTTAATTATGATTAAAAGACATCAAGGTTGTCGCCAAGGGAGATGTCATAATTGACGTGGTTGCCAAGTCATTTGACTCTTTGCTTTCTAACTATCTTTTTTTTACAGCAAACAAAGATGAAGTCAAACGACTTTAGTTTTATTTTTTAATACCCATTGATAATCAATTGAATAAAAACTAAAATCAATTTTAATTATTTTTTAATAGTTACTGTAACTATGGGGCCCAATATATTACTAAAATAGATATTTGACACATCTATTGAAAATGAAGAAGATTTAGCATCTATATTTCAATTGGCCACAGCAGCCCTTAAATAAAAATTTGATATATTATATATGAGGCTATCATCAAAAGATCTCCAAATTTGAGCAAAGCCATGCAATGAACTATTCATAATAATTAGATATCGAACCTGTCATCCATAAAAGTCTAACATAAAACCTTTCACATATAAATAAAGTAATATATCATTAAATTGTAATGGTATTTATCAACAAGTCGATCGGACAAGCTCTACATGGAACTGTACTTGTCATGCGTGTCACATTGATATTCCTGTCGTACATAAGACAATAGCTTTTCAGTCTTTTAATTCCTATCCCAAGACTCCCAATTACAGCAAGTCGGAATAATATTTTATGTCAGCAAGGGATCATTACCAGGGGTAGTAGTTTTCTTACTTTAATTATAATGTGTTTGATCCAAACAAAAATGCTATAGGCACGACCTTCTACCACATAAAGTTAGTTATAAAACTTGAAAATAGTACCCAACGTGTTGTTGCGGGATTACAAATTGTATGAAAGATTATGTTTGAATTGTATAAAAAATTGTCATGGAAGATTAATATCATTTAGAACAAATTTGGACTATATACATAAAAAAAAAATATTAGGAAGCAATCGTACGCAATGTTGTGAGAATAAGGTCTTTTGGTAGAATAGCACTGGTTTCATGTTTGTTCCTCTTCACCATTGCAGTTTCTTCTACAATAACTACAAATTTACAAGAGACAAAAAATCATTATTATTTTGATACATATGCAAGAGCATGCAACATTTGAAAACACAATCGCCTAAATTTAAACTGAGCTTTCCCTCACCAAACCAGGGAGCTGAAACATTTGACTTCTCTAATAGACAATGGTTGTCATATGCCTTGATCATTGAATGAAAACCAAGAGCCTTTTGTAAAGTACTTGCCACCGCCTCTTTGATCAACTCTTCTTGATTTTGAACTTTTGAGTTGTGGTAGATTAGTGACACGTGGATTCTCGTTTGCAGACTACATTTTAGAACCAAGAACAAAACACATTCATAAAAAAGAAAGAAGTGTAGTGTTGTAAAGATCCAAAACATGAGAACAATAGTTTAAACAATTTAGAAACAAATTTGAGCGGTTAAATTGAGTTGCAGGTTCTAGTATAATGAATTCTTATTAACAATTTAGCGTGAAATATGAACAACGATCGTGACATTACTCACAGAAAGTGAATTGAAATGTGTATCACTTATGGCAACAACAAAAGCCAGGGTCATGAGATAATGAACAACCTTTCCACATTGCAAGCGAAAAGAAAGATTATGAAACGTTGGGCTATTTTTATGAAAAAATATTAACTAAAATGATTTGTTTATTTTGGTAAGGGATTAACAAATTAGGCATAAGTTAGTAGACTAATTGTTAGGATGGATAAAACACTTTCAACAGCTAAAAGTTTTATACAACAGTTTTGCAACAGCTTAGTTGAAGAGCACAGTATCTAAAACACATCACTTTAAAAAAAAGTATGATTGAATTTTACAATCTGAAAACAATCTGAAAAACTTGACCACATTGTTTAACAATTCCTTTTACCAAGCAATGTAAAATCATTTGGAACACAAAAGAGAGCATTAATTCATACCACATGATACAAAATCGTAAAAAAGCAGGAAAGGTCATTCTTAAAATACCTAAAACTTGAAGCTGCAATGAGCAAAACTTGAAAAGTAAATAAAAATTTGTGGTTGTTACCCAAACTCGAGTCTACCCACAACAAATTTAGTTTGCATAGCCTTAAAACACCATCACCAACTTTATCAATTAATTAATTAATTAATTATTAATATTATGTACAATACTTTATTTCCAAGGTATCTTTTACCTATGTATCTACTATATACTTTGATCGTGTGGGAGTAGTTTTATGCCACAAAAACAATATGGCTAGGAAGGAATAGTTTTATTTGATCGAAACAATATATAGCTTCTTCCCAATTTACAAAAGCTTCATTTTAATCATTGGAGTGGAAAATTTAGATACGCAACAGTCAAATACCTGCAATTCAAGGAAATGAAGCGTTGCAAACTGGAATTTGTTCACTAAAAATGAAAATAAACTCCGCTGCAAAGTAACAAAACTAATGTCAACAATCTTATTTAAACCTCAATAGAAAACTTAGACTAAGTGTGACATCCCACATCGACCAACGGAGAGGGGAAATGATCCTTTATGCCTTATATGTACCTACTCACCTCCATATAGCACGAGGCCTTTTGGGAACTCATTAGCTTTGGGTTCCATTAGAACTCCAAAGTTAAGCGAGTTCGGACGAGAACATTCCCAGAATGGGTGACTCACTGGGAAGGTTTCCAAAAACAAAACCGTGAGGGCGTGGTCAGAGCCCAAAGTGGACAATATCATGATACGGTGGAGTCGAACTCAGAATGTGATGAGGGCCCGGGCGGGGATGTGACAATTTGGTATCAGAGCCAATCCTTGACCGGAAGTGTGCCAACGAGAACATCGGGCCCCTAAAGGGAGTGGATTATGACATTCCACATCACCCAGGAGAGTGGATCATGTAAGCTTTATATGTATATTTCCATCTCTACCTAGCACGAGACCTTTTGAGAGTTCACTGGCTTCGGGTTCCATCAAAACTCCGAAGTTAAGCGAGTTCACGCGAGAGCAATCCCAGGATGGGTGACCCACTAGGAAGTTCTCATGTGAGTTCCCAAAAACAAAACCGTGATGGTGTGGTAGGGACTCAAAGCGGATAATATCGTGCTACGGTGGTGAGAACCCAGGACGTGGTGGGAACCCAGGTCGGGATGTGACACTAAGCAAATAAATAAAGGTCTAATTTTTCAACTAAATAAAACAAATTGATAAAAACGAAGCTAAATAAAAAAAATAAAATAATAAACTGAAAAATTTCAACCGGGTTTTGTCAAAAATGTTAGTATATAATCACAGGTTAAGCTGATCCTGTAAAATAACTGAGTTCCCTCGTTTCAAGATTTCTTAACTGTGCTTCAACCTAAATGCATGTGCGTGTAGATGTTTGTTAATATATGTGTAAGGAGATGGTTAATTAATTTGAAAAGACCATTTTGTAAATTTGCTACTAAATAAAATCTTTAGCAAAGCTGTAGTAGGATCAAAATGTTTAGCAACCAATTTTGTCAATTTTGACCTCTAATTGTGTCCAATCATTATACTTCAGATAAATCAGCATCAAGGGTAATACTGGGAAGTAGTTGGTTGAATAATCACCTAGAACGTCTAAATTTTTTTTACCGAGAAGAGAACCAAATAAAAAGTAGTCAATTCCCAATTGGAGAAACACTCCAAAAATCAAAAGTAACAATGACTTCGAACTTAAATCTCAAGGAAACCACTATTCATTAAAACTTCTAATAAATTTAATACGTAAGCATACAGATTTTTCCAAGACCTTAAAATGTATAAGCAAAACCGTAAACACTCATCACTATTTACAACACACATAATTCTTAAAAAAACATATATCATCGGTAAGTAATGACAAATTATATGAACGTAAATATGTATTTTGTAAACATATCTTCTAAATATAGGTTAATTTTTTTATAATTACTTTCAGTGTTGTCAGGATATATCCAAGAATATTGAAGAAGTGTTTACAACCAACTATACCCTTACCTGTCGGCATTGATTAGTCGGCCGTATAGAAAATTTCCAGGTTAGAGCGAAGGTTTCTGCATAAAATGAAAGCCTGTGTCATTTCACTAAATAATACAAATTGCAAGGATGAAGGTAAAATTAAATACCCAATGAAATGAAGTAATCTGTAAGTTTCTCTTGCGGACAACAATCCACGAAGTGAATATATATGCTAGTTGGGTCCAATGTTATAAGAAAATAAGCCTATATAAAAAAACACATAAAATTAGTAAATTGTTGAATAAATTTGGAATCTTAGCTGTTTTGTTGAGGAAAAAAGTGAGAACTTTATCTGAAAAACTGGAAGCCAAGTTGTGATCAGAGCAAGGCAGATGGTAAATTATACAAAAAAACCAAAACCAATTGCAAATTATACAAAGAATTCTACAAAATTTTACATGCAATGAATCCCTCCACTTCCTCTTCTGGGGAGGCTTTGGAATGAGTTCCTAAGGGTTGTTCCTTCTGTATACATTGAAATTCTGAAATATACAAAAACTAACGTCCATTAAGAGAACAACATATAGAAGAAGCCATATACATTTATTATCAAGAACTATATTCATCACCACTTTTCTTTTCCTTATTTTTCCTTTCACTTTCGGCTACTTTCTCTCCTTAAATTGTGGAGTGATTGAAGGCAAAACTGATTGCTTGTTGCGTTTTTACCTCCTTGTCGACTTCACTATAAGAGAGGCTTTATCTTGTATTCTTAGCAACACATCAATATATCATTCCAATTCAATACAAACCAATCTTTCAACCAAATATACTTTCAAATTTAACATTTATATTTCCACACGGACATACATCCAGATCATCCAAGAAATATTTAGGATTTCCTGAAGAAACCACTCACCAGATCCATAAAGAAAAATTCCAAGCAGGCTGTATAGGCACCAGCTCATTCGGTCAATGAAGCTGCAGTTGGTTCTGTGGATTCGGTAGATGAGTTGATGAGAAACCGTTTGGGACCAACCTCAAGGCAACTGTCGTCGGAACTGATGGAAACACAAAAATTCGCAGCAGTTTTAAGGATAAAATCACAATCTCCCAGGAGATTTAGGGATAAATACTGCCAAAATTTGAGTTGACGTGGTAATTACACGAAGAAATAGAAGAGGGGAAGACGAAACATTAGGGCTTTTTCAGTAGAGAAGGAGAGTCAGAGGAAGAGTGAGAGATGATAGGAGAGGAGAGAAGACCGCAAAGTGGAAGAGAGTCACAGGAAAAGCCGAGAAGAAGTCAAAGCAGAGCCCTTCGATGACGATCGATGCGTTGACAGGCTGGACGTCATTCCACTGTGCGAAGGAGGAAAAAAGGAACTCAGATCCTCTTCGAATCCCCAAAATTTGAGTCTAAAGATCAAATGATCTAAATCGTTGAAATTTGATCAAACGGCTATAATTATTATAACTTTAGAGGGACCCCTGTTTATAGTGATTGGATCAAATTTTAATGGCCCAATCATTTAATTCTTAGGTTCAGTTTTTAGGGATCCGAGTTCCGAAAAAAAGGGGAACAACGCCGAAGCAAAAGGAAAACGGATGATAGACGCGTGGAATGAAAGGGTAAAATGGTAAAAAAATCGAAGGGCATTTATGCCGCTACACTATTAGCGAAAGGGTAAAATGAAAAATAAAAATAAAAAAATCTGAACATAAAGGAACTGGAGGGTAGTTCCGCTAATGCACTGTTAATGAACAGTGTTTTTTTGCTTGGGTTTTAGTATAGGTATAATTTCCCTAGCAGTTCCATCAGTTGAATTGTTACACTATGAGTAAGAAGAAGAGGATTTGAGCGAAGCCTTGCAATAAATTACTTATAATAATTTAATATCAAACACGTCATCCACAAAAATCAAATTTAAAACCTCTTATGTACAAACTAAGATAAAATATCACTAAATTGTAATACTTTGTATCAACAAGTCAATCGGACAAGCTCTTCATGGAACTATATATGTCATGTATATCACATTGATATTCCTGTCGTACATTGGATAATAGCTTTTCATTCTTTTCATTCCTATCCCAAGACTCCTAACTAAGTATCAACAAGTGGGAATAATAATTTATGTGAGTAAGAGAAAATTTTATAGAAGGGTAATAAGGCCAGTCATGTTGTATAGCACATAATGTTGGGTGGTCAACAAGTAACACGCAAAAAATAAGTGTTGCAGAGATGAGAATGTTTAATTGAATGTGTGGGCAAATGAGAAACGATATGATTAAGAACGAGGATATCTAAGTAAGAATAGCCGCAATTAAAGACAAGATAGAGAAAATAGGTTATATGGTTTGGTCACATGAACCGAAGCCCTATAGGTGCTCCGATTAGAAGAACGACTATGAGAAGAAGGCTCAAGACAAAAGAAGTAGAGAAAGACCTATGAAGAATCTGAAAGAGACTATAAGAAAAGATGTGGAGTGCGTGGACCTAACAGAAGACTTAGCGCAAAACCAAGCGTAATGATTTTTGATTAGTCATGACATTATTTATAATAGTTTTGTTTGGTAAGATAACCAAAAACTCTAGTTATAAAATTTCCCTAGTGGCTCCATTAGTTGATGTGCTATAATTGAGTAAGAGGAAGAAGATTTGAGCTAAACCACATAATGAGATACAAATAATAATTTGATATCAAACTCGTCATTTACATGAGTCATTAAAATAAAATACGACTAAACTGTAAAGCTATTTATCAACAAGTCGATCGGACAAGCTTTTCATGGAACTATACTTGTCATGTGTATCACATTGATATTCATGTCGTACATAGGACTATAGCTTTTCATTCTTTTAATTCCTATCCCAAGAGTCCCAACTAAGTATCAGAAAGTCGGAATAGGAAAATGATCGTCGCCGGATCCTTTTTTTGGGGATCCTAAGGATTATGTGATCGTGACCGTTCATCGTATATCGTGCGGCTAGTTTTCATTAGGTACTATTTATATTTAATTTTGAATTTTGGAATGATTTATGACCGCACGATGTACAATGAATGGTCACGATCACAGGATCCCTAAGAAAAGGATCCAACGAGGATCCTTTTCCATCGGAATAATATTTTATGTCAGTAAAGGCAATCATGATGACACACCCCGACCCGGAATGTCCACTAGGATTCCGAATCGAGTTGTGCTAGCTGACACTTGGAAGGTGGAGAAGCCATAAAGTACGGTGATATGGAAAATGTGAATAAATTTAAACATAAAAGTGCCTAAAGACAAGAGTGCGCTGTGAGCCGGAACGAGCCCATTTCACACGCAACATCAGAGCATAAGTAAAGTACAATAGTGCGGGTAAGGAACATCCCTTTAGAGGTAGCCACCTATACTGAGATTTGCCACAAATCATCGTCGATACGAACTTTCAGCACCTAAAACCTAGAGGGGCGCAAAACAAGGGTGAGTGGGCCTAAACATAAACCTTTTAAAAACGTTATAACCCCTCGCCGTAAAACCTGTATAATTTCCTAGAAAATAATAATACATATGTATATAGAAATCATGTTCGAGAGTAGTGAAAACCAAGTATATGCCATGTCAAGTATCTCAGCAATGAAATAAGTAAACCACGTGAAATAAATCAATGAAAAAACGATATGCCAGCCTGAGTCACCTAACGTGACCTGTACGGTTGAACCTATAGCTCATCAACCAATTCCTGCACACGAGTCGGAACCACCTAATGTGATTTGTACGACATGCTGGGTGTAAATAGATACGCTCAAGTGCTATGATCACGTGAAGGTTGTGCTAAGTATCGCAAGTCACCTAGGCACGACAGGCTGGTACTTGCCTTGGATCCAAGGTGAGCGTACAGTGCGGGAAGTGAACGATCACGTGAAATGTAAATCAATTATGACATGGCAACTTATAACCAACTTATAACCATCGGGGTGCAGGATCATGAGCTCTACGTGCATCAACTTATAACCAACTACCATGCAACCATACCATCAATATGTACTTACCTGAACTTACCTAGGCCTCCACAGTATCATGCAACATTATGAACAACTATACTAATGCATATGCTAAAATGTAAAGCAATTATGACATGGCATTTTAAACGAAATTCCATTTAAAACAGTTTCTGGGAAACGTGTGTATATATATATATATACATATATATAACCAAAAGCCCACTCACCTGGAGTCCGCGCTACAACTCCCTAGCACAAACATCAAGGCATCACGAATGATCGATGCCTAGAACAATTATCAAATCACAACTTAGAATTCTTATCAATAGAACACTTAACTTACATATCCTATTTGGGAAGATCCGTACATTGGATTCCCGATCTGTAAGTTTCTACTATCCCCAAATATTACATATTATAATGTACCAAAGTTTGATGACGATCCAACGGTCAGATCATCAATTGCTATAATAATCAAGCGATGGACCTTAATGGAACTACGTTCAAATGACGGAAATTCATCAATCAGACTTCACCAATGAAATCAGGGTATTCAAATTTAGCCTAGGAAGGTCAAGAGACATCTCAGCCCACGTGCCGCCGCACGCGTCGTCGCAGGTGGCGATCAGTCGTCCCAACTCGCCAGAAAAATTCAACTATTTCTAAAAGTTCTCAAACTTCACAGAAATGAAGATCTAAATGAGAAGAGTAACTTTCATACCTGTGACTAAGGCCAATTTGGCTGGAAAAGCCTTAATTTCTCTAAAACCCGTCGGAACCCTAGAATTTGGGTATTCTTAATTCGTCCTCAAATCAACTCTGACGCTTCAGTCACTAATTGGGCTTTAATCCTGACCTCTTGATGAGTGTTTTGGTGGTGGTAATTGAAGGAAAATGTTTCAAGATTGATGGATCTCGAGCAATGGCTTCCGCGGCACCCACGGGTATTTCTTCATGAATCTCAACCAATCCGTGTCGATTGGTCATCCTCTTATCTCTCATTTTCTGATTAGTCTGGTTCCTCCTTCCGTTCTCTCCTTTATACTCTATTTCCACTGCCCATCCTTTCTATCTTTAAATCTGGGTCACACATGTGGCTTTCCAGATTAAGGTAAAAAAATCTGGAGCTTTCTGGAAATAATTAATTTACTAAAATGCCCCCGACTTTAAACGTTAATATCTCCTTCATTATAACTCCAAATTGTGTTCCGTTTGTGCCCACGTGTCCGTAGCAATGAGTAATACGAGGATACGCCAATAAAATGAACCTTACGAGACACGACATGGCAGTCAACAAAAGTCAACAATTTACCTCGAAGGGCATTTTCGTAACCAGTACTATTTTATTACTTTAATTTGAATGTGTTCGATCCAGACGGAAGAAATTTTTCAATGTGTCCGGAACATAAGATGGTACACAACATGTTATTATCCAAGTGGAAAGATAATTAAAAAAAATAAAACTTTCATGCTACTTATATAATGACAAGTCGTGTGTTACCCCATGTTCCTGTTACATTGAAAATTTTTTTTCCAACCAACAACTGACCTTTAATTTTTTGTGATGGAGATAAAGGCTTCTACCTAGGCGTGTGCACAGTTCGATTCAGTGCGGTTTTGAATGAAACTGCAACCGAAATCGAAACTTTTGATGGTGCGGTTTAGTGCAGTTTCAACCGAAACTTTTGGTTTTTGAGAAAAAAATGTACAGTTTAAAATTTACACCTATCTACACATAAGACAGTCTCATTTTCCAAACAATGCAAGTGTTAATTTATGCTGAAAATTAATAAAATAGGTTCGTCTGCATGTTTTCACTTGGCCATGAAGGAGATTTGTATTTTGTAGCAAAGGCTAATTAGCATAATAAATGACACACCCCGACCAAATCAAGGCGTGCTGACCGTCACGCGAGGGTGACGTAGCCATGTGCGCAGTGCGGAAATGATAATGATAAAAAGAAATGCAAGTAACTAAGAACTAAGCTAGCTAATTTACACTAAGTAAATAAAAGTGCAATCCCGATATTTAAGTGTGATACACCATAATCAGAGCATTGGTAGCCTAAGTGCAGTCGAGCAGGATAAGTACTAATTATACAATACCAGAGGTGGTCCTACATTAGTGATAATCTGTCAAAACCGCCGTCAATTCCTCGTAAGCCACCAACAAGCACTCCTACCTAAAACCTGAAGGGGCACAAAACAAAATGTGTGAATGGGCAAAAACAAAGCTTTTCAAACCATTTCACTTGTCAAAGGTAATACCCCTCGCTGTAAAACATGTATATTTCCTAGAAAATAGAATATATATGTATATCAAAACCATGCTCGGAATAGCAAAATCCAAATATATGCCATGCCAAATATTTTATACTTAGAATACGCATTTAGACCCAGGCTAGGATGTGACAATAAAGCCTGCAT